GGACAAGTTGTTCGCCTCCTGAGTTATTTTGTACTGGTCATGACTCAGAAATCAAAGGAAGTGATGAAAATGACTCAGAGCGTCAATCCAGTGATTCATAGGACGATTCAGATGGCGATACGCAATCGGACCGCTCTGCCTGTTTTGAGGTTATGTTCCAGACGCAGCGTTCGAAAAACGTCACAGTACAAAAGCAAAGAATACATGTAAATATAAGCCGAAGGGGAAGGGGGATGGGGTGAGATACATGTATTTGGATACTTACCTTTGTAAACTTTGCGTCCTTTACCTATTGGGTCTTCAAAATCTTCTGCAGCCCCAAAATGTAAAAATAAATTTAAATTTAAATAAATCAATGATATTTGTAAAAAATGAGTATACCATTTGATTACCTACATTTGTATCAATATCATGGGTAACGAATTAGGTTCGAAATCATATCGTGGCGTTATGTTTGTCATGGTTCGATCGAGAACTCCACGCTTTCAGTAGTTAAGAGTCGACAAAGTACCTCTTGATGTGCTCTTTCGTTTGTTTAGGTTTTCAAAGTGTCTTTTGATACCTTGCCATATTCATTCATAAAATTTCAAAACTTCGTCGTCATCTTGGCACTGAGACCTACGAAGGTTGCAATGGCCGTTTTGTAATTTCATACTTGATTCGTCACCAATAGATATTAATAAATAGATAAGAGGAAATATATATACATAAAAGAAATGAAAGAGCGATAACTGAAGTAAGGACAAAGAAAATGAAGTAATGTCATAAAATAATTTATAGTTGTAAAAACTGTCTCACCAGTGCCCTCAAACTCTTCAACTTCATCTTCTGCGTTGTTCACTTCATTTTCAGACCCAGTCTCGTCATAGTAAGGCCTAGTGCGGCGACGGCGGCGTCTCAGGCAGACACAAACTCGTCGCCGACAACTCTTGATGTTAAAACATTTTCGGAGACCGCGACAACGACGACGACGACCTGGAAGCGAAAATTCCATTAAAATGTGAATGTACCACTAATCTGACAAAAGCATCAGTGGTCAGGAATGTTTTGTAGTTTTCATAAATGTAGACCGTTTTGTAGTATTCGCAAGTACAACTAATTTCACGAAACACCCCTTCGTGTTTTCAAGATTTTGGTATTTTTCACTTATGAGCTCTATAAGATGATAATCATTTATAAACTGTACGTAATGAGATGAGTTGATACCAAGGGTGAGTGACGCCTCGCAAATTGTTCACCAAATTCGAGAGGAACCTCTGAAGAAATGACATCCATATCTTTCTAGGCACTGAATCCAATCTCCTACGGTCGTCTACGAGGCTCAAATTTAAAGAGGGGTGGGAGAGGATGGGGTAGAAAAGAAGGAATCAAGGTAACAACAACCAAAAATAAAATGCCGTTTATTTTATTTTTTTATTTTTGTTTTCAGAATTTTTCGGTCTAGACTGACACTCACCTTTCCAAATTGGATCTTCGAGATCTATGGATTTTAAAAATTATAAATCAATAAATCAATATCAAGGTGATGAAAATGTGTTAACACTTTATCTTAAAGTTAAAATAAACAAAAGTGAAGAAAGATTTTCCTGACACAAATTTCGTTCGAGCTTTCTTCAATATTTCTTCAGACTTTTTAGACTTCGTTCTTCAGGTAAAGATAAAGACATGTAAATATTTATTATTGTTATTATTATTATTATTATTATTATTATTATTATTATTACTATTATTATTAAAAATGTTAATCATGAGGAAATTTACGATTTACTATACTTGTACAAAGTTCACTTAATTGAAGTAAATTTAAATTTGGGTGGCCTTATCACGATTGACGCCCGTTGAAGATTTATTCCCATTAAAATTGACCTTTCACAAAGGAATAAGATTTCGTATAATTCTATAGAATACTTCATGGGAGGAGCGAACATACGGTATTCACGCAAAATAATATAAACAGAAACAAAAAGGTACACTAATTATATGAAATGGCGGGTTTGAATGTTTGTTATCGATCTGTTTGTTTGTTGGTTTTTGCGTTATTTTATTCGCCGTTTGCTGTTGTTTTGTAGGCTCTAGAAAGTTTTTTCTTTTTTTCAGTGACAGTAATAATCCGAAACTATTCTATTCCAAATTCCGATCTGTTGCTCAATTTCTGCGAGAACAAAATCTACTTGATCACATTAACAAAAAATCTCGCTGAATCACATGTGAAAAACATCGTTCGGTTCTCTGATTGGCTACAACTCATATGTATATGAAAATTTGCGACACAGTTTTCCGGTGAGTATATTTTATTTGTTTGGTTTTACTTTTTTTTTAATAAAACACTAGTCGATTATCGCAACCTCGTTCCATATTGTTTCAAAAATGCAACACCACCGAGTGACTAACCGTTTTCTTCTTGCATTTCATCGCTGTCTTCATCTTCCCCGACATCGTCTTCCGCTATTTCAGTGTCCTCTTCATCTTCGACGTCCTCTCCGTCTAAAGTTTAATTTTTTTTTAGGTCAGAACTAGCGTTCAATATCGGTGTTTTTCTAAAATCAAAACTCTCACGCGAGGAGCTCAATCCATGTTGTAAGAGATGGAAAAGCCTTATGTTTTTTTCGTCGTCCATACATTCGTACAGACTTTCCTAGAGGGGCAAAGGAGCAAGGGGAGGGGATATCCCGATAGACAAACTCATTTATGGTGCGATAATTTCATTTCAGTTTCCACATTCTAGGTAATCTTGGTGTTTAACGCAACCTGACTGGCTCGCTATCTCGTGCTAATCAACAATATTAACCTCCTAGCGAGTGGATAATGTGTGAGCTTGGTGTTTGTCCAATATAATTTTTGTACAGAACGATCTTTCAAAAGTCGATCAAATCCTTAATTAGGTTGATGTTTTGCCTCATGCATCTTCTTAGACTTAGGGTTAGGGTTTTAAGCTTAGGGTCTGCTCATCGATTATGTAAGAAATTCATGTGAACAAGTCAAAATATACATACCTGTGAGTTCCGGGCTCCGTACGTCTACGTTCATGCAAATGATAAAAAATAATAATAATAATAATAATAATAATGAAATAAAATAAAAAAAATTGGTCAAGGGGAATCTTGCTCTGAGGTATGCACATATACATAGTTAGAGATGAAAACGAATTCTCAAAGGCTCGATGCTAATTAGCTAAAGCGATTAAATTTCTATTGGTTTGATGCGAACATGTTGATATGTGATTGTAATCATAGCATTACAAAGCAGCAGCAAAATGACGAAAGCCAAACAACGTAGCATAAAAACAAAACAACAACAACAACAAAAAAAAAAACACAGGGCAAAGGCAAGACTTTTTTTGGATAAAATCTTTCATCGGATAAAGCTTAAGTATAAAGCAGACATAGAAAAAAAAAATGATGATAATAACTATATTCGTTTACCATTGTCCGCTGCTTGTTGGAGTGCCGGTGCTTAAAAATAAATACAAAAAAGGAGAAAATCAAAGTATGAATGGGAAAAAAATCTTTACATTGATTCAAAATAAAATAAAAAATTGTGAACGCGCTTTTCTTTGCGCGATAGATTGTTGTTGTCAGTAGTTTTTGTTGCCTTTTTGTACTAAACATTGTGGATACGATAAAAGTGCTATGATGAAACGGAGACAAAAACATTATTTTAAAAAGAATTGATTTTGATTTACCTTCTACATCTGTCAGTTCATCTTGTGAAGAAAAGGCAACACAGGCCACGAGAAAGAAGGCTGCGAATAGGAAACACTTGAAGTCCATTCTTGTGGGAGCAGATCAGAGACCTGAAGGTATGGGCAAATGGGGTACTGGTTGCACATTTTATAAAGCACGTTAGTGGTTCTAATATCACATTTACAAAAGGGAAAAAAAAGAACACAAAAGCAAATACATCTCTTGCGTAACGGAGGAAAACGTCATTTTGAGAAGAAAGCAACGTTCATCAAATATATGGTTTCAAGAGCGATTGCTTTTAAAATTGTATAATAAAAAAAAAAGAAATATGCAAAGCAAAAAAACTGGTCTTATGTTAATTTATAAGTTAATAGATATGACATCATTAATATCTTTCAATCATAAAATAATGAAATAGTCACTTTTTAGGTGAAATGTTTTTATTATTATTATTATTTTATTTTATTTTATCAACGACAACATAAATTATGTAACTTTCTTCATTGAAGTAAAGACAACATTGTTTCCGGAAGTAGTCACCGCAACAGCAGATAATCTGAATCATGGTTATGATAATATCGGTAATATTGGTCAATTTAATGTAATTTCTTTTAGTTATTCCAAGTAGCTCTATTGAGTTTCAAATAAACAATGAATGAAACTATTCTTGCAGAAAAACGTGATGTATACTAAGCATTTTGGATTTGTAACGGTCTAAATAACAGAAGGAGCTCTCGCTACTATCTTGGATTTGGAGTGAGAATTTGAAAAACTGTAAAATACTATAAATGAAGTAAAAATTAATAAGTGAATGCGACAATTAAGGTTACAGCATCCAGATTCCTGCTGTATCATGCATGGACGGAAATTCATAGCAAAGACAAGCAATATACAATTACAATATACAGTTATATTATACACTTACAATTCATTTACAATATACAATTATAATCCATAAATACTTTTCAATGTGAATGAAAGGACTTATTGGCAAAAAAAAAAAAAAAAAAAAAAAA